CCAGGTTGGAGCGCTCGTTCGCAGAGGTCCCCGTTATGTGGTGGTGATGGGTGACTTCAATGCGAGGAGCTCCGCCTGGGGTGACGTATTCACAAACCCTCGGGGCGCAGTACTGGAGGAATGGGCCCTGACTACGGGACTCACCGTCCTCAACCGAGGCTCAAGGCCCACCTGTGTTCGGCCACAGGGCAACTCCGTGGTGGATATTTCGTTCGCCTGCCCAGCGACGGCGAGACGGGTGTACGGGTGGGAGGTTGTGGAAGGTGTGGAGACACTCTCCGACCACCTGTACATCCGTTTCCAGATATCGGACTCGTCTTTGGCTCCAGTCCATCAGGGGGCGCAGTCGCCTCACCGGGATGCTCCACGGTGAGTAGTGAGGCGTCTCAACAGAGACCTGCTGATAGAAGCCGCCCTGGTTGAAACCTGGTCTCCCAAGGACACCTCCCTGGGCATAGGGCCGAAGAAATATGCGCATCGATGTCCCGGGTGTGTAGCGCATCGATGCCCCGGCAAGGCCCCAGACCGCAGAAAAGGGAGGTGTACTGGTGGACTGCCGAGATAGCCTCGTTACGCAGCGCGTGTGTTAGAGCTAGGCGTCAGGTCCAACGTCACCGTCGAAGGAGGCACAGGGATGAAGTGGTCGAGGAGCGCCTGAACGCCTGCTACAAAGCTGCCAAAAGCGTGCTGAGCCGAGCGATACGGGAAGCCAAGGATAGGGCACGCGCGGAAATGGTCGAGTCATTGGACCTAGACCCGTGGGGCCGGCCCTATCTTATGGTTCGAGGCAAGCTCCGGACGCAGGCTCAGCCGCTCACCCAGAGTTTGCCGCCGCTGCTGGTACAGGAGGTCGTCTCCTCCCTATTCCCGCACAGGGAGGCTCACACCCCGCCTTTCAGGGCGCCGAGGCAGGATCTCCCGGTGGATGACGAGGCCGCTCCACATGTCTCCCCTGCTGAGCTCGGGGTCGCCATGGCCAAGTTGCGAGCTAAGAGGAAGGCTCCTGGGCCGGACGGCATACCGGGCAGCGCTTGGGCATTGGCGGCCGAGTTTTATGAGGATCGGGTCAGCAAACTGACGAGTGACTGTCTCACGCAAGGGCGTTTCCCGAGGAAATGGAAGGACGGCGCCCTAGTCCTCATCAGGAAGGAAGGGAGACCGGTCGACTCCGCGGAGGCGTATAGGCCCATCGTCCTATTGGACGAATTGGCGAAGGTCTTCGAGCGTGTCGTCGCCAACCGCCTCACCACGCACCTGAGGGCAGTCGGACCAGACCTCGACGAGAGGCAATATGGCTTCAGGCCGGGTAGGTCCACGATTCACGCAATCCAGAGGGTGAAAAGGATAGCGGAGGAGGCCGTAGCCCAGGGAGAGGTCGTTCTCGCGGTGTCTATTGACATCGCGAACGCCTTTAATATGGGGATGGCCCCTGGAGCTGCATTGCCGAGGCCCTCCGGTATCACCGAGTGCCGGATTACCTGTTTCGCGTTGTGTCGGACTACCTATCGGGGAGGTCTGTGTCCTATAGGAGTCGAAGCGGGTGGTCTCGCCACGAAGTGTCCTGTGGGGTCCCGCAGGGCTCGGTCCTCGGCCCCCTATTATGGAACGTGGGATACGACTGGGTCCTGCGGGGCTCTCTCGTGGGACGGGTTGACATCACCTGCTACGCTGACGACACCCTGATAACGGCGCGCGGTCCTTCCCACTGGGAGTGCGCGATCCGTGGGACGGCGGGGGTAGCGCAGGTCGTTGCGAGGGTTAGGGCTCTTGGACTTGAGGTCTCCCTCAATAAGTCGGAAGCCATAATCTTCCACGGCCCTCGAAGAAGGCCTCCGGAGGGTATGCGTATTACGATCGGCGGGGTAGAAATACCAATCGGGCCTCAGATGAGGTACTTGGGCCTCACGCTCGATGGTAGGTGGACCTTCGAGGGCCACTTTCGCAGGTTGGGACCCAGGCTCCTACGAACAGCCGCGGCCCTCGGCAGTTTATTGCCGAACGTCGGTGGCCCGAAAGCTTTGTGTCGGCGTCTGTTTCTTGGGGTAGTCGGCTCGATGGCGCTGTACGGCGCTCCAATATGGAGCGGCGCCCTCAATCGGAGAACGGTGGACATCCTGCATCGGCCCCAAAGATTCTTGGCCATCAGGATGATCCGGGGATACCGGTCCATCTCCTTTGAGGCGGCCTGCGCCCTGGCGGGTTCCCTACCCTGGGTCCTTGAGGCGAACGTGCTCGCGGCGGTCCACGCGTGGCGCGAGCGGAAGGCGCTCATTGACGGGGTTTCATCGCCACGAGCGGAAGTCGAAAGATTTAGGAGGGAACGGCGAGAGGCTGCCCTGTTTAGCTGGCAATGCCGCCTTCGCCAGTCGAACTTCGGAAAGAGGACTACCGAGGCAATCGGTCCAATTTTGGCGAGGTGGGTCGGAAGGGCGCATGGGACGGTAACCTTCCATCTGGCGCAGGTGCTGTCGGGGCATGGCTGCTTCGGCAGTTATCTGCGTCGGATCGGGAGGGAGCCGTCCTCGGAATGCCACCACTGCGGGGTCTGCCCGAATGATACGGCCGAACATACACTGGCGGAGTGCCCGGCCTGGGCGGTTCAACGACGGGACCTGGTGGCTGCAGTTGGCGCTGACCTTTCTCTGCCGGCCATAGTTAAGACCATGGTGGATTCCCACGACGCATGGTGTGCCGTGCAGAGCTTCTGCGAGGAGGTCATCGGCCAAAAAGAGGACGCGGAAAGAAACAGGGAGGCGCTCAGCCGAGACCCTGTACGAAGCCGCCGAAGAGGGGGTAGAAGGAGGGCTTTCGCCCGAACTCACCCACCTTAACCAAAACTCGAGTGGCGGGCTAAGGGGAAGCCCGTCGCTCTAAGACAAGTGAGGATACGCTGGTTTCCTGCGCGCGTGAGGTAATAACATCAGCAGAAGCGACAGCCAGTCACAGCCGGGAAGTGTGACGAATACTCCTCAGTGTGCCCTGCTGCCCCCGCAGCACGGACGGCGAAGTGCATAAACGCATTCCCCGCGTTAACAAAAAAAAAAAAAACCTACCACTATGTCACTTTGTTTTGTCTTTTCACTGTTTACACTTCACTAATGTCGTTTAGAATAAATAGTTAAATTCCAAATTATATTAATTATGTTATATAGAATAAGTAGTATATACGTATGCATAGAATTAGGTATAGTATTAAGTTAGATATTAGGAGCACTGTGCCCAGGCAGTTTAAAAAAAAAAAAAAAAATTAGAGTTTTGGTCCGCTGTATCTATCGTTATGAGCAGCACTTTGAAATCAAGCCAATTATGAAATTCAGAACAATGTCTTTTGCATTAAGCACAACTTTAATCGTTCTATCGTATCACTACACCACACAAATATAATTGTTTTTTTCAAGATAAATGATTACTGCAGCGTCACGGCACTAGACGGAAGAGGGCAAGGCTCAACTCGATATATTATTAACCGTCTCTCGCAATTATAACTAAATCATAGTTTGACGTTGTCAAATAATATTTGTTTTGTTTTTCATTCAATGCCCTCTGCTACGGCAAATTCATAATCTAAACACTATTTTTTAGGGTAAGCCGATAGATGGCAGTAAAACCTAAGAAATTTCATTCTGATAAAAATATAACTTTCCTTCTAAAAGGACTAGATGGCGCCGCGCCATTTAAATGCACGCAAGCGTTTTGTTTTACTGTTGTGTTATGATTGCGCTTAACGCTAATTAAACGACTAATCCAACCGACCTCCTTCTTATTTGTTTCATCTATACGGGTCGCGGGGCTTTTTGGGTTCGTGTACAAGTCCTCTACTTTATTTTAATTTCGAATAGGTTCTGTATAATGTTGGTATCACTTATACGATATCCTCCTCGTTGACTTGTCTACTAGAGATCCCCCGACCTCTTCCACACAATCACTTCACGTTGCACCGCACTGCAGGTAAGGGGTAATAAAACAAAGTGGGAACGCAATAGGAAAATTTATTCAGCCCGAAGGCAGGCATCATCTTAACTAAAAAGAAGGCACCTGTCGGCCGATGTCTGTCTAATCTGTTGACAATACTAGAAATATAAATAATCGTTTGCGAGTGAACAACGTCGAGGAGAGAGGCGAGGCGGCTCGCGACCTCCATTTTATAATTTCAATGATAATTGTGTGTAAGGCGGATGCGGATGGGGCGCGGGTGGTGCGTGGGCGTGGGCGCGATTAGAGCGCGGCGTGGTCGTGGGCGTGGGCGTGGGCGTGGGCGGGGGCGTGGGCGAGCACGAAGTCTGCGGCGCTGGCGTGGGCGAGCAGAGCGCGGCGCGCGGCGCGCAGCCGGCCGAGGTAGTGTCGGTGCAGCTTGGTGGCGGGCCGCTCGTAGCGCAGCGCCGTCACCATCTTATCGGCCACGTAGTGCAGCCACAGCACGTTCGTGTACGGCTCGAAGTTCTTCCACTCGTTGCTGTGAAACGATACAACCTTTCCTTAATTTGTTGCGGCAGACGAGACGACGAAGAGAGAGGAGGAGGAGGAGTGAGAAGTTACCCGAGGCGGTCGCGCATGAGGCGGTACACGTCGAACTGGCGGTCGCCGACGGCCTCGAAGAGCGAGTCGTCGTCGGCGAGGTCGGCGTAGAGCGCGGCGCCGCGCAAAGAGACGCGCGACAGCGAGTAGTCGATCACGACGCAGGCCGCTCCGCGCCGGGGCACGCGGTGCACGCGCCCGCGCAGCAGGAACGTCGCGTACTGCAGCGCACACGTCACACGTCACACCTCACACCTCACACACATTGCTCGCTGCTCACTGCTCACTGCACCCGGACCCCGGCACTCACCTCCTGGTCGGTGGGCGCGACGAGCACGTTGCCCCAGTGCAGGTCGCGGTGCTCGAACTGCAGCGCCTCCTCAGCCACGGCCAGCCCGAACGCCAGCTGCAAAGACACAGCATGCCCTCACTGCACCGTGCGCTAACATTCTCAGCTCGGGGAGCACAGAGCAATGAATGTGGTAACACAACAGATATATTCACAATGTCT